CTGAAGAAAGAAGAAAGAGACGTCTGCTTCCGGAGGACGCTTTGGCATTCCTCTGCCCCATCCCTGTACCCCTCTCTTGGCCTGGACTGCTAAGCTCTTTGTGGGGCTGATGATGGTTTTTGTTCCTTCCCTAATCTAGTAAGCATTTCTAGTGTTGGCTGCCATGTGCACTGTTGAGTTGTCCTTCAAGCTCATGGCCACCAACTAGGTTGCAAGTATGTGTCTTTGGTTGCAAGTAGCAAAAAAGTGTCTGAAGGTGGAAATCCTTCTGTGGAAAAGCCTCCCTGTTGTGGTAACAAAGAGCAGAAATAGGAGTTGGCCCTTGGGTAAAGGGAAAGGCAACCAAAAGAAGGAGGGAGGAGGGAGAGAGGGCAGGGAAGGGGTAGAAAAAGAATTCGGATGTGCTATTTTCTTAGTCACTTGCCCATCGCTGAGGAGGTGGCAATGACGCCCACAACTTGGAGGAGAGGTTTATTGAGCTCACAGTCTTTAGAGATTTCTGTCCATAGTTGGCTGGCTCCAAGGCAAGTTGGCATAGCAGGAGGGCTAGGCAGGGAATTGTTGATGGCATGGAAGGACACACACACACACACACACACACACACACAGAGACAGAGAGAGAGACAGAGAGACAGACAGAGAGAGACAGAGAGAGACAGAGAGACAGAGAGAGACAGAGAGACAGAGTGGAAGAGAGAAGGAACACAGACCCTTCCAGGTGACATTGCTGGGACTCACTTCCTCTGAACAGGCTTCACCTCCCAATATCATATCTAAGTATAAACTCACAAGTGGACTAATCCGTTGATGAATACCACACTCCTAGGATCCAGTCACTTCCCAAGAGCCACCTATGAGCTCATGAGGCTTTGGGGGGACATCTAGAAATACACCATGAGTTATGTACACGTATCCACTCTACATGATGAACGCAATCATTATGTACTGCACACATGTACTAATAAAAACAATATTTAAAGAAGAGCAGTAATGGCCATGTCATGGACGCCGGATAACTGAGCGTGTGTAGAAGAGCTGAGTTGAAGGGGAGCGAGAAGGTCACTGGGTGCGTGTGGTTTTGAACTTCTACATTTCTAACCCCGGATCTCGAGATGCATCGTGATTCCTGCCCACTGGACTGTAAGGTTTATGCAGGCAATCTTGGCAACAAGACTGAACTAGAGCAGGCTTTCGGCTATTATGGACCACTGCGGAATGTGTGGGTTGATAGAAATCCTGCTGGCTTTGCTTTTGTTGAATTTGAGGATCCCCAAGATGCAGCAGATGCTGTCTGAGAGCTAGAAGGAATAACATTATTTGACTGCATGTCAGAATGGAACTATCCAATGGAGAAAAGAGAAGTCGAAATCATGGCCCTCCTCCTTCGTGGGGTCGTTGCCCTTGAGAATATTATCATGGGAGGAGTTATTCACCTTGCCGTAGAATTCCATGAAGGAGAAGTGTCTCTTGCAGCTGGAGCAGGTCTCTTTCTAGAGGGTACATTGTAGAGCTGAACTGTGCAAGTTTTTTTTTTTCATGCTGTCATTTGTAATATATTTTATGTGACTCTTTGGGATTAAAGTTTTGGTGACAAATTGTTAAAAAATAAAAAGCAGTCATTATAACACTGTAAAGAGAGATCACTGTCTTGGGAGAGAAATCACAAGCCATCCTGATCCTTCTCTAGGTCTCCCAGCCGATCTAGGTCAAATGAAAGGAAATAGAAGATCAGTTTGCAGGAGAAGTGGTGTACAGGGATTAACTTCAGTGACAGCAGTATGTGCAGAAAATCCAAGTTTTGTTTGAGACTTCATAAGCTTGATATGTTTTTAAGATGTTTTAGCTGTTCACCTTTGTGTCTTGGAACAGTGACACAACAATGCAATTTTCTCTGGTTTGAGATGGATCACATAAGGCATGTAATACCAAGAATTGCTACTTTACAATGTTCCCTTAAGCAAAATTAACTTTGCTTTGAACTTCAGTCTTTCACAGACTGACAATAAGCCTCTAACCACTGCCTAGTTAAAGTGTGGTGTTCTAAAGTTACAGAAACAAAACTGGCCAGAATTACACAGGACCTGTTTCATAGCTGAGACAACAGTGCACAGACGTGCCACCAGGCACAGATAAAGGCCACATGCAGAGCTAGGTGAGCGCAGTTTTAAAAATGGAACCAGTCTTTATCCT